TCCACAAATATAATCTAACATTACATTCGTGAATTCACCCGTCCAGAGCGTAAGGAAACCATTACGGGATGCCTACGTCTCGCTACAGAACACTTATTTACATCTGTAAAATAAGGCTTATGATGCTGTTGGAAAACCAGTAAAACAGTGACTTCTGATTTAGTTTTGTTCTGTCCTGGTAAGCACATATCGTCAAAAATTCTGACTTTGTGCAGTGGAATGAATTACTTTGCGGACGATATAAAGGCACACAGTACTGTGTATATAAATGTTTGCTACCGGAATCGAGTGAAAATTACCTCTCATGTCTTTGGTTCCATAAATGTAGCATAAGATGCTAGGCAATGGAAGGATCTGGGAGATTGCCTAAGCTCAATCCGCATACTACTCGTGGATAAGTATGTTCCTAAAACTTTTAACGGTGCTTGAGCTGTGTTAAAATAAGCATGTATTCGCACTGTCATTTAATTGACATAAGTCGGATAAATTTCGAACAAAGACGATTGTTTGAAATCTTTTCAGTGGATAAGGACTTTTTACAAGTCACTCGACAAGTGGACAAAGGCGTGAGGCAAAAGAAATTTTGCTGCATGTTGTAGCCACGACCAACGTGCGAAGATTGGACATGGGCGACCCAGTTGCTCCTTTTACCTCAAGAACGCAACACTGGACCAACAAAAACAACTGAGAGAATTCTCATACTAAGCATTTAGACATATTTATCAAAGCTTAGGCCGAGATTATTGACGATAAAAAGGCTATTTAGTTGACAGTAAAGGAATGGGGGCCGTAGTCGTTAGATGTTGGAGCTATCTACCGACCATCGAGAACGGATCCAGGTGCAGGCACTTGTCTACTGGAGAACACAGAGTAGATCGCTGTCGACCTGGTGTTATTTATAAGGCGACTTCACCGCATCCTACACTCGCTAGAGAGATATACAAGCGAAGTACTTAAACTGTGTCTCCGGTCACCATCTCCTAGAGACAAGACTTGACATTCTTCGCACAAGGCATGTCCTAGTTCCAACAAGAGTGCGTGGGGGAAATATGCTAGTTGTTTGAACCTCGTCTTCATAGAAGATCCTAATTGTAGAAATGAAGTATACTGACCACCTTTGCTAGGTGGAAGTGGTTATACAGTACTTTTATTGCAGTACTGTCTGCATAGTGTACCATATAGAATAATCAAAATGAGGCCAAATATTTGGCAGGGAGACTTTTGTCAGATGAGTGATGAGGCGTCACCAATAGCCTAGAGGATTTTCTCCTCCGGAGACGTCACCGAGGACTGTAAGTTATACAAGGCACGTTTTTACATCTCGAGAATGGCCACTACACCTTATGAAGACTAAGGAATGCGAACTGGCCGCAGTGGCCAACATGACACCTAAAAAAGAACAAAAAGAAATGAAGGTTGTGCGAAAACGTTTTCGAAAGCAACGAAAGTGCAAATTTTTGAAAAAAAGTCCAAAGGAATACGGTAAGTGCTTAATTTTCCAATGACAACATGGTTTCGAGAGTAGTTTGCTCCATCAGTCCGCTAAAAACCCAACACTGTTGCACAGCTACATACGAAAACTTGCACGTATCAGGAACTTGGTCCTTGTTATTAGGAATGATGAGGGTTTCGAAATGTCTAACCGTGCAAGCAAATCTAAATATTTTTCACAGTTCTTCTCGTCCGTTTTCAGGAGTGAAGCGAATTGAATTCCTCAAAGTCTCGAGTGCATGGAAACGCAAATTTATTCTAATTGTTGCGTTTCGCGAAGAAACAGACGAAATTCCAGCAAAACTGCTATTTGAACTTTCCGAGAACTGGCTAGATCATTGTCCATCTTGTGTCAAAACCTTTTTGATACTGGAGGTCTTCTCATGGCTTTGAAAATAATCCACAATTCACCAATTTTCAAAAGTAATCGTCGAGCACTTACGACCAACTACAGTCCCTTCCGCTTGACATCAACCTCCTGAAAAGTCACGGAGAAGACCATCAAAAGACACCGATGAGTCAGTGGGGGACCCGCAACCTTTTGTCAGATGCACAATACAACTTTCGTTAGGGAAGGTCGTGTGTATCGAACTAGCTTTTCAGGATGCGGAGCTGACAAAGCGCTCAAGAAAAACACACTGTGCTTGTCACCTACACCGATTTCAGAAAGACCTTTGATGGTGTTTCCATCAGAGCCTCCTGCGCCAGTGAACGGAGATGGATATAATAAGGAAACTTCTTCAAAGGATCGAATTTTCCTCGTCGGTCGTTCGCAGGTTTTCGGCGTAGATAAATAGCAAGCAATGCGGAGATTCGTAGAGAGTAGAATCCCAAAAGATTTACTGCGGAGTTAACATTTTATCTCTTTTTTATAAATGACTGTGTACAAAAATTGGACAGTGACTGTGCCTTGTTTTTGGATTAATTAAAATTCCGGAAACTCACTGACAGCGCCGCCGACGAAGCAAGATTCTAGAAACAATGGTTCCCTAGATGGTTCCAGATATTCAACTGAAAAATACGCCATGCGGCGTCTCTGAATTCGAAGCCGGGTCCCTGACGGGCCCAAGTGCTATCTAAACAGCATACTGCTCCGAGAAGGATCTCGGTATTTGGATGAAAAACACTCCAAAGCCGTCTGCATACGATTTTAAAGCGCCTTAGGTCGCAAATCCAATGTTATAGGCCGTCAAGAGTGCGCCTACAGTTTTCGAGGAAGATTACGTCTTTAAAGTCTTTAGTTCGTACGTAAGGCCATATCTTGAGTATGCGATCTTAATCTCTTTCCTCTGAGTTACAAGAAATTGAACAAGAACCTGTTAAAAACTTTCCATTTCATGCGTGGCTTGTACTGTATCCCGGAATGTGCGGACTTCTTCCAACTTGTCACTACAATCAACCACCGGGTGTACCCCTTTAATCGACCTGCACCCAGGAGAGATTGTCAGTTTAAGTCAGTTTATTAAGAAAGTGAGACCTTCGCTCTTGAGATCCTTATTCTTATAGATAAACTGGAATTGAATCAATTGCTTCATCGGTGATGATAATGATACTGATGATAATGATAAGTGTAAACCAGGCGCAAACTGGCTCCACCAAAACAATTGTAATTATCTGTAAATTAACTTCTCGGCAAATGAGCGTCTACTCTGCTCTTAAAGGATTCAACAGCTTTTAAAAGAACCGCCGAATCAGGGAGTTTGTCCCATGCTCCAATGACCCTCCGCGAGAAGATATTCCATCTGACGGTCGCGTGGGCCAGTTTCCTGTGCAGTTAAAAGGGATGACCACGTAGACGGTCAGTCCCGGCCAATTCGAAGAATTCGTCAAAGTCTAGGGCGCACTCACACTCTCTGTCAATCCTGTCGGTTTAAATGAGATCGCTGCGCAGTTGCCTGTACTTTCGGCCAGCCTGCTTTCGAAAGGCGGACGATCGGGGTTCTTGACCATCTTCGTAGACATCGCCTGTACCCTCTTCAGTGGTTAATAATCCTTCTCAAACCACGGTCGCCAGGCCTGGACTGCATATTCAAAGAGAGACCGAAGGAATACCCCGTAAGTTCTTCCGAACTGCTCCTTGTCGATCTGCACAAATCCTCGCCTCAACGCAAATAACACCCTATCGCACGTTTGGCTGCCCTTTGACACCGTAACGATGGTTTCTGTTCCACAACATTTGAAAAGGTCTGCCCACGAAGGACGTATTGAAAGGAATCGTCTTTCTTACTGATCCTTTTGGTGCGAAGTCTCAGAACCACACATTTGTCAACAGTAAAGTCGAGAAGCCAACGAGGTGGCGTACTGCTCAGCTCGTTGAGACACTTTTGAACAGTGTACCTATGTGCGTCGGAAATGATGACTTTCTACAGCTTAACATCATCAGCAAGCATAAAGTTGCATCCCAGGTCATCGAAGTAGTCGTTAAGGTAAGGCCGTCAGTATATGTGTGTACCCACGTGAAGGGGGTAACGGTCCGATTAAATCCAAGTGAACATGATTAAATCGAACGTCCGGGACCGCAAAGGTACTTGGAGGGGAGATAGTGTGTCGATGAACCTTGTTCTTCTGGCATGCGAGACACTGTTTGGTCCAAAGAGCAATGTCGGAATTCATCTTCGACCAAACAAAACGAGCCGCGATTAACTTACGTCCAGCGCGAATGCCAGGGTGGGAGAGGGAGTGAAAGTGGTCAAAGAAGACCTTACGATAGGATAGTGGAACAACAGGACGAGGGGTGCCTGTGGACCAATCGCACAAAATCGTACGTGGTGACGCAGGAAGTGGTGCATCTCGAAGCTGCAGAGTAGTAGACGTACGTAAGTCCGCGATGGACTCGTCTGCTGTTTGGAGGTCTGTAAGCCTCGCCAGGTCGAAATCGGATGTGAGTGTGTTGATGTCCGGACGGGATAATGCATCAGCAACGACATTGTCGCTGCCTCGGACGTAGCGGATGTCGGCAGTAAACTGCGAAATATAGTCCAGTTGACGAACTTCCCTGGGCAAGTACCGATCTGGCTTGGCCTTCAGGGCGTAAGTGAGAGGCTTGTGGTCGGTGTGGACCGAAAAGTCTCTGCCCTCTGAAAGGTGTCGAAAGTGACGTATGGCCAAGTAGACGGCAAGGAGCTCGCGAGAGAAAGTACTGTAGCGAGTCTGCGCCGCCGGTTGTAGCTTCTGTGAAAAGAAAGCTAAAGGCTGCAACTGGTTATTCATCTGTTGATGCAAGACTGCGCCGACAGCACTGCTGGAAGCGTCGGTGGTCAAAATGAGCTGTGCATGAGCGTCAGAGCTGAGGTGGTGCAGCATGGTGGCATCAGCAAGAGCCTTTTTCGCTTCCTCAAAAGCTGTATGGGCTGCCGGTGAAAGTTCAATAGGTTTTGCTTTCGACTTCAAAAGGTCAGTCAAGGGAGCCAGGATTGCCGCACAATGGGGAATAAAATGTCTGTAATAGTTGATAAGGCCTATGGAACGTCGCAGCTGAGTGAATGTGTTGGGAACAGGGAAAGACAAGATGCATTGCACCTTCTCTGTAAGTGGAGTGATTTCGTGCTGATCGACGTGATGGCCAAGGAAATCGAGAGAATTAACGCCAAAAACGCATTTGTCGACGTTTAATAGCAAACCGTGTTGCTGGAAACGATCGAGTATGAGGCGTAAATGCGAGGCATGTTCCTCTGCCGAAGAGCTTGCGACGAGTATGTCGTCGATGTAGGCGTAAGCGAATGGAAGGCCCCGCAAGATCTCATCGATAAAGCGCTGAAACGACTGGGCGGCATTGCGCAAACCAAAAGGCATGCGAATAAATTCGAACAGCCCAAAGGGTGTCGTGATAGCGGTCTTTGGGATATCTTCCTCAGCGACCGGGATTTGGTGGTACGCCCTGACGAGGTCTGTCTTGGAAAAAATAGTTTTGCCGGCTAACATGTGGGAAAAGTCATGAATGTGGGGAATGGGGTACCGGTCAGGGATTGTGGACCTGTTTAGGGCTCGATAATCACCGCACTGTCTCCAATCATCAGGGGACTTCTTTGGCACCATGTGCAGTGGTGAGGCCCATGGGCTAGATGAAGGACGTATAATGCCCAGATTCATCATATGTTCGAATTCGTTCTTTGCTATTCGGAGCTTGTCAGGTTGGAGTCTACGCGGACGAGCGTGCACTGGTTGCCCTGCCGTGACAATGTGGTATTTCACTCCGTGTTGAACGGTTTCGGTAAAATGGCATGGTTTAGTGNCTATGGCTAGAGCTGTCATTTCCGCCGCTGTGTAGATTAGAAGCCCGTATTCACTTATGCAGATAATTGGGCAGTTCGGATGTCACGGACGCGCCAGGGATTGGACGGAGGACGTCTGCCTTGCCTCGATTTTGTTTATTCGGCGTTGCCTTGTGTGTCCGGCTTACAAGGTCAACAAAGTCCTGGTCACGGATGTGCAGCGAATCTGCCATTGGCAAGTTTTCACCAAGATAATCTTGGACACACAGTCATGGGATTGGCCACTTTTCACGTTCCTACTGTTAGTCCCGCCGCTTTTCTCGTGCTTCTAGTGTACAGTGCGTGACCGATCTCATGAAGTGCTGGCCAAAATTCTGGAATGCGTTTTCGGTTAGGAAGGACTACTTACGTGGGGTTGTTGTATTGATTGTCATGCAGCATAATCCTATAACATTTCGGACCCGCCAGGATGTCGGCTTTTGAATGCGATTCTTTTTGACCTGCAAAAACCACACTCGGTAAAGAATGACTACTTAAGTAGCATGCGTTTTTCCAATTGATTTTCGATGGTCTTATAGATTCAAATATATTTTTCAGAAACTATGCACAAAGATATACTTCCCTTTGCTCATTTGTTAGGAAATCACATTGTCTTCATATTTTATGCCCGAGTAAAGTGGGTATTTAGGTTTTAAAAAGTTTCCCAATTCCCGAATAATTTTCAGCGTTCAGCAATTTCCGTCTACAAGGTGCATGCTTTCCGCGTAAGGAAAATCATATATTCCTCTATGCCTTTAAGAAGATACCACAGAGAGTTCACGAAACTTTGCAACGAGTCCGCGCTGTGTTGTACATTTCATGAGGAGTATTAGTAAACGGACATGTGCGGTCTTGCGTGCATGGACATCGCACGGTCTTAAAAATTTCATAATTAAAAACTTTTTTAAAACCTAAATATACACTTTCTTCGGGTATAAAATATGAAGACAATGCGATTTCTTACCAAATTAGCAAAGGAAAACATATTTTGTGCATGTTTTCTGTAAAATATATTTGAATTTATAAGACCATCGAAAATCAATATGAAAAATGCATGCTACTTAAGTAGTCATTCTTTACCGAGCGTGGTTTCTGCAGGAGGTCAAAAAGATGTGCATTCAAAAGCCGACATCCTGGAGAGTCCGAAATGTTATAGGGTTGTGTTGCATCTTAATCCTAATCGGAAACGCATTCCAGAATTTGGGCTAACAGTTCATGAGATCGGTCGCGCACTGTAGGGTTCAAAAACTGCTTACATTCTTCACTTGCATGCAACCAGCCGCGAACAGCTCGTCGAGGTTACATCCAACGTTCATTTGTGTATCAGAATTACAGGTGGTCAGGTTATTTTGTTGTTCTCTTTCTCGAAAGACTTTAGTTAATGAGCGCTTCTAGTATTATAAGGACAAAATGTAGCTCTCCTTAAAATGTGCATAGAAAGCATTTCTTGACCGCAATTAACGTTCCCCGTGTAAAAGTGTCCTGCGAGTGTTTCCTGCCAAGTGTCTCATGTAAACACCATTACTGCCAACAGCCGTCGTGACCGTGTCTGGTGTCCTTATTCAGGGCAAGGTCGCGTCAAGGTCATTCACCTTCACAGCAAACGGTTCCGGGCGCGCTGACCCGCAGCCACTCGACCGACTTCAACTCGGACGCACACGCGTTCACAGAGTCGCAGATGCCTAATGCGCCACTTGAACACACTCCCACTGCTTTGACGCAACAAATTTATGACCCCTAAGGGTGTTTGCTTCCAAGTGTCTTCTGTAAAGATCAGCCCGGAAGATAATGTTTATCGGAAAAAAACAACTTCCAACAGTTTATACTCCTACGTACCAATCACACACTTGTATACACCCCACGCATAGGCCTGCTAATTATTTACACGCAAAGTTTAACGAGTGCCCCCATCAACACTACATCCCATGCTGTGTTAAGTCAAATACCGGAGAGTTGGAAAGAGTAAATGTATCTTGTCCATGAATTTTGACTCCTCACCCGCATCGTTGGCTTCTGCCCATCAAAGATGGGCCGAATGCCCTAAAAGCAATTCACTCAGACGTGTTATTCATCAATGCGTATATCAATTTAGATTCCACGTACAGATATCCCATGGTTAGGGGAAACGGGCATAATCAATACTGGCCGGGAAACCGAACACGCTGGAGGCCTACTGACGTAAACATTGGTTGGACTGACTTGTGTGGATATTTAAAAAGGACATGAGAACGGAAACCGCATGCAACAGGGGTGGCTTTGAATCAACTTCCGGCGAAATTAGGGTTAGGGTTAAGTTAAGGATTAAGTTTAAAGTTACACTTAAATTTAACGGTAACTTAAGCCGGGATCAAGTTTAGGGGTTAAGGTAGGGGCCAGTGTTAACTGCAGATTTAATGTTTAGGCTAGGATTAGAGTCAGGATTAGGGCAGCGGTTTGGTTCTATACTAGGGTTATTATCGGGTCAAGCATACGAGAATGTTTTGCCCTTTCCGGAATTATGCGCAGGTCCACCTGCATTACTTGCACCGGGGGCGGCGTTCCTGTTTCTATGTCCTGTTTAGACGTCCATATAAGTCGTTCCCGCCTAAACCTTAGCCAACCGCAGAATCTCACATTAGGCCTCGTCCAGAACTAACTGCTTTTTGCATATTCCCCATTCGTCTGACGACGGACAGGGGTACCAGATTCAAAAATTTACGTAATAAATTTTTCCCCGTTCCCAAAGAACTTAATATATTCCCAATTAAATTTCTTTGGATGCCCATTGGTCGATATGTACTGTATGTATTGGAGGATTGCATGCGTCTGTTATGCCAGTATTCAGCAAACCATGCGCGAGTCATCGTGCTTGCTCCCACCTTGCTGTTGAGCATACGGTGGATATCGTCGGACGCGACTGCCGAACTGTCATATATTTAATAACAGTGATAATGTGCATTCCGATATGCTATAATGAAAGTAAAAGTTCCATTGGAAAATCAAGTTTCACTCGTGAATTTTTAAGCTGGTCATGCCAGCGCGTCGCCAGACGAAATGAATGGTGGGGAGTGGGGTTACCGCACCAGGGAGCTTAAGAACAAAGAGGTTACATCGACAGACAGACGTTCACGGGAGGGGATGAAAAGAGCGTTAGCATAGATGCCGGCAGTGAGGGGAGGTGTTATGAGTTCCAGTTGTGGTTCGCTGTGCCGGGAGGATGCTGGGTCAGTGAGACTATGCATGGCCGAGCATGAATTAGCGGCTGTTGTTTTAGGATGAGGGTGAGTCAGTGAGCCGTGAACGCAGACGGTCAAAGTGAGTATTCAGGTCGACGTGGTGATTGATGCCGGTTGTTATGGGGTGCCAAACGCGGCGAAATCCTCGCGCCTTTTGGTGCTAGTAGGAGTGAGCACTCAATTCCCGTCCCAAATGAAGCGGTGGTCGCTCTCAAGGCCGTGCGCAAACATGAGAGACAAGGGATCCCGTCAGCGGATGGCCAGCTTGTGCTCGTTAGCACGGGTCCCAAGTCGTCGGTCGGTATGGTTAACATAAACGCAAGAGCAGCTGGCACATGGAATGCCGTAGCTGAGCTTTGTTTGCTTCTCTCTGAGCATGGGGCTTTTTACTCGGGATAATCGTAGGCGCGGGGGGAGGCCGGCTTGTGAGCACTGGAAATGCCAAACCGGTTAAGTTGTCGTCGATCGCTTCGGACATCCTTAGAGCGAAATTTCCGTGCACAGTCTCCATTGGATTTGAGGCTTTGTGATAGTCCTTAGCACCTGAGACAGATTTTCGCAAAGCTGACCGGATATCCGTTGAGCCGGAACAGCCGATACAATTAAGCCAGTTCTCCCCTAAATACATGCTAGCTACTGAAGTAAGGATAAGCCCGGTGTTAGCAGGGTGGTTGCTGTTCACATTAAAGATGATTTTGTCTTTGGATCCTTGTAAGTGAAAGGCTTTTGTGGGTTCGTCACCACTAAGTCTTTTTACACTCTTAGAAAAGAGAGGATATCTCCTGTTGCCTATTCGCGAGTAAGTTGTACAGGTGCGAAGGCATCATTCAGGCTCTGTTGAAATTATTCAACCTCGCAGGTATATGTGATGACGAATGTGTCATCTACGTATCTGAGCCTCTTTTGGCCTAGAAATTCGTACAAACCCTTCTTCTAGTCGTTGCAGGACTAGTTCTGTGAGTGGTCCTCGATACTGGCGAGCTCATTTGGATATCCGTATCCTGCTGAGAATACCTGCCGTTGGATTGACGACCGTTATTAAGGCAAAGCATGAGGAGTTATCCTCTTCGTCTAAGGCTTGGTACACCGGAAAGACATCACTTTTGTCAAACGCTATATATATATATATATATATATATATATATATATATGTCTAGGTAATACTTTCGTGAATCATTAGGTGCAGGACATGGAATTAAGTGTCTAATACACAACTTTTTTTATCAGACCCGGACTTTCAGTTTGCATTCGTATAAGGCCTTATACGAAGTGCACGTTCGTCGAAATGTTAAAAATCTAAGGAAGGTGGCCTTCTTTGAAAATAGGAGTGCATGTTACATATTATGCGAATTCTGAGGCAAATATTACCACGTACCGGAAGTTTAAACCGTAGTTACCATCCACGTCAATAAAATTTGAATTTTCTTAACACGAAATTTTGATAAGTGGACTCATTTTTAGGCACCTGATGAATAAACGTGTTGACGTTCTGTCTACCATAAATAAGACTCGCGTTTCGTTCTTATTTGACTGGTAACATCTTCATTCTCCATTGATTTCCTCCACTACATCCTGTCTTCTGATTGTTAGGCTTTAATTCTGTCTCGTAAGACACTTGCTGAAAACA